TTCCATCAAACCAATATTAGTAATAAAAATAAGACCCGCTGCACAGAAGTGAACATGTTTCTTATGTCAACACTTTTCCTTGCTCTTACTTTATAATGTCTGAAGTTGTTCTTTAGAGGCAGACTTTACTGGCTGTACTTTTCAAACAGGAGGGAATAATGAGTACTTGCAACTTAATCAGCCGTAGAGCTGCAGAGAGGCTTTTTTTTTTCTCCCCAAGTACTTTTATGTCCCATAATGAGCTGGTATTTTATAACTTCTGATGGTAATGTATTCCATGTGTCTTCCATTGCTGGGATAAAGAGCTTTACTCCAGAATCCAAAGCAAGTGGCTGTGGGTATTTATTTAATAAGGTTTTAAGTCTTTGCACTAGGTGGGATTTCAGTATGTTATGTACCTGGAGCTTCCTCAGGCTGCTCGTGGCAAGGTCTTAGTTCTTTAACACTGTGGAAAAATCACTTGTGTCGCATATGTGCTTCCTATGAAGCAGGGTAGGTTTTGTGGTTCAAGTCACAGTTATGCTGTTTCAGTCAAATTCCTTGCTTTTTTTTGTCCTTGTTGTGAATACTACTGGTTTCCCTCCAGGACTCAGGACAAGCAAAAACTGAAGGGAATTCAACCATGAATATCAAGATAGCCAAATGAGTGATCTGCTTATAATTCCTTGAGGCATCTCCTCTAATGCCTCACACAAAACAAAAGTTCTGTTGTGGGGGTGCTTAGGAGTTGCTGTAGTCTTGGAGACCTGACAGAAAGGAAAAGTAATCTTTTTATGGTTTCTTGCTAAAGTACTCAAACTACTCTGGTTGGGCTTAGCGTTTTGAAAAACATTTTCTGGTATGCAGCTCTTCTAGATGCTCTGGTATATTTGCCTCCACTCTGATCCGTGCAACAATAATTACATTTAAAGTTTTTGGCAGGATTCAAATTTGTTTCGAGTCACAAAGGATCATCATTACCATTTTATCTGCATGATTATTACAAGCCCCTGTGAAAACTCATCTGCTCCCTTCAGGGTTAGTTAAAACTGAAGAAAAATCTGAATGTGAATCTCATGCAGCCTTCTAAATCTTGAACAGGAGTCTGTAAGGCAGATTGAGGAACATAATTTCAGAACTGCTGATACTTTTACTGGAAACAGTGCTTCTGCTGGCACTGGCAGGTTACCTCAAAAACAGCTGATTTTTGGTGGTGATGCTGTAGTTATGCCATAATTTGTGGTATTTGATTCTTAGTCTAAAGGAATTCTGGTGTAGTCCAGATTGCCCCCCATCTCTCTTGTACTTACTTGGAAGAAAAAGGTCATTTGCCTTCTCATTTGATTATTTTCCAGGTCATAGAAAAGGCAGGTGCAGTTCTGAGCCCTTCCCTTGTCCTCCACTTCCCAGCCTGTCAGGGATGAGCCCTCTTGCAGGAGACTCTGCCACCTGCTGCTTTCCTCCTTGAAGTGAGGAACAGCCAGCCTTAGATGGCTTCACACTTTCCAAGTCCCGTCCTGCTTCTGCTGTGGCAGAGCTCACTGTCATTTAAACTTTTCCTGCTTTTATGCTCTCTTGGCAGCAAGTATCTGAGCTCTTTAAAGCTGCAGTCTGTCCAAGCTTATTTTTCAGTAGGCAAGGCTGCTGCTTTTCAAACAGCTTTTGCTCATAGTTACCTGCAAAACTTCTGCAGATATAGGAATCTGGTTCCACAACTAGTTGGAATGTCCTTGAATAACCTCTGCTTAGAATCAAAATAAGCCAATGGCTCTTGACTCTTTTTTTTTTTTTTCGTTTTTTTCCCCCCTACTTACATGATAATGGAACACTATGATACTATCAAGTACCAATTACTACAACTCTTTAGCAGGGAGAAAACGGAATATGTGAGCAGATTGCGTCTCAGGCAACAACATGTGATCCAATATTAAACACGAGCTTTTCAAGTTATAGAATCATGGAAGAGCCTAGGTTGGAAGGGACCTTGAAAGATCATCTGGTCCAACCAGATGGTTGGTTATGTAGTGAAGTAGACAAGAATAGGAAGAGAGAAACCATTTGCTTTAATGAAATAGGCCCAGTGTTTTATTTCTGTATGTTCTCATCAAGAACCTTCTGGCTCCCACTTAGCAAAGGGTAGTACTTTCTGGGAAAAAGCACCTTAAATCCTTTGAAGGGTTCCTTTGAATTTAAAAGGGTTGTTTAATTTTTAAATTTTTTATTTTTGTATTTGTGGGAATAACTACAGGTTCTTATCCCAGTAATTTTTCCAATCAAATATGAAGTTTGAGAGAAAATACAGTTCATATCTGGCTATTCTAGTAATAGCTCTGTTCTGGCTTTTCTAGTAAACCTTTACTAATGATAGTATTTGTTACTGTGACTTACAACCTCAGTGAATTTATATGAAATTTTAAGAACTGCCTTATCTGAGTAGCTTTACAGGCCCAGCTGTGCCTAGCTTCATGTAGTTAGTTCAAGAGTCTGGTCCTAGAAAACAGGTTTCTCAGATATCTGACTTTTTCCCCTGTAGTTTTTTCCCAGGACTAATTTCTCAGCACCCTTTGTGAAGTGTGAGTACCCAGTGTTGTAGTTGTTTTACCACTGGACTAGGCAGGGTAATGTTACTTCTCAGTTACTCCAGAATGCTGTTGTGTTTCCTACCAAGCCTCTTTGCTGCTGCACTGCAGCTGGAGCTTGTACTCTGCTATCCACCATAATCCTGAAGAACTTCTGAGGTTTGGTGTTTTCCAGGACACAGGTCTGCCCATATTAAGTGCAAATTATGCCCCTTGTTCCTGGATGGGTAAAGTTGCATTAGGCTATGCTGAAGTGCTAAACGAGCTTGTCTTCCCAAGGGATTGAGGTCATGCCTTGCCCTCCTAAGGGACTCAGTCAGCAGTGGGTTGTGCTTTTCCAGTGAAGTTAGAGAGCTCAGTTAGAAACAGACCCCAGAAGGTGATCATAAAATATGATTCCCGGGCAGTTTCTTATACAGTTCTATTCCTTATACAACCATACTATTAATATTTACAGGCACTTTTTACTCCATTACAGAGATTTGATTGTTTCTGTGGGCTTAATTCTTTAATCAATGCTCTGCGGCATGAAGCCCATAGTTCTGCACAAGCTACTTAAATTATCAGTTACTTTAAGAACCAAATGTTTCATATTCCAAATATAATGTTTGATTCAGCTTTTGTGTTTGTTAAGGCTGAGTTGCTCTGATTTACTCACTTGTGTTCCCTATCAGTCATCTTGTAGCTTTGCAGAATGGGTGCCCCCTATTTCCCTCTATTCTGTTGGGCAAAGAGTTTTTCCACAGCTTCTGTAGTTGGATATGAATTTGCTTGGCAGTGAAATTACTGCTTTCTTGGAGCACCTCTTTTTGTATTTGATGCTGATACCTTGTGGGCATTAGAGTTTGTCTTTCAGCTTCAAGCAACAGCAATGTTCCTGCAGATCCAAACTGGCAGACATCGGTAGCCTAAATGCTAGTGTTTATTAGAGCAGAGCAAGGCTTGAGGGTAACTATGCCAAGTGTTGGCTCATTAAATTGGCAGGAAGATTCACGAAGGCTGCTTTTAAAGATAAGGACAAGAATTGGCACGGGCTAGGCGGGGGTGAGAGAATGGCGGTGGGTAGGGCATGTGGTAGGTGTCTTCTATCTTTCTGTAGATAATTTGAAGGCAAGAGCAGACTCATTGAGACAAATGAGCTGTCATGCAAGCAGGAATAATAGCAAGTTGAAGTAATAGTGTGCAGCACTTGTCGCTGCTGGAGTTCAGTTGGCATTGGTCTGAAATACCGTTAGAAGATAGGATCGAGTCTCTGCTTTTCTGGAGTTCTAACTAGCTATCAGTTCCATGTATTTAAGAATTTTAGTAAACATTGGTGGAAGAAAATGGGTGATTTATCTTTTATCGTGATGGGGAAGCTACTAGGAATTAACATAGCCTTTAGTTTGTTTATCCGGGGGAGATACCTCCCGAAGTTTACCAACACCAGTGTTCATACATAAATTTGGACTGGTTTAACCTGAATGTGATTAGCTCTTGACTCTGTTTGCAGAAGACTTAGTATATTTGGATGATTCAGATCTGGGCTGGACTGTTTAGGGCTTGATAGGGTAAGCTGATGTAGATAAATGCCTCAGATAAGATTGAGTAAATTGTGCTTCTTCCCGTTTACATCCTAGAAGAACATGGTTCTTTTAGAGCAGAGGTGAGAGGTACTTGTCTTTGTGTTGCCATTGCTCATGATGGTTTCTGTAGAATAGAATATTATTAATAGATTAGATTAGTAGAGTCTGAGACATTTAAAGTAATTTAACAGATTTGGTCTAATTGGTAGTTATGCTAATAATCTAAATTATTATAAATATTGAATTAATTGTAATACAGACAAAAGAACTTCACACTTGCTGGAAGTCTACTCAGACTGAAGCAGGACCTTTGAGGGTTTAATCTAGGGTTGCACCTGCTTACACTGTGGCTGAGTGTACAACCTCTGCTGTGGGGTTTGGACTGAGCAGGGTGGACTGGGGAAAGTAGGAACTGAATTCTTTGGGAAGCTATTGAAGCTATTCAAACCACAACCTGAACTATAGCCAGAAGAGACATGGAAGTGAAAAGATACAGGTCAACATGCAGTACATCACCCACTTCTGCAGTTATCAAGCAGGCAATATGAACTCAGCAGTAACCAGTTACTTACTGTTGCAGATGAACATTTGATTTCCACATTCCATAGAGAAGATGGGTACCGTTAATTGGTACTTCTGTGACTATTGCAGATTATTTAATCTGCTCTTCATGATACCAACCTGTCATATACCTCTCCCTGTGAAAGAAGTCTGTACTGAAGCTGATATTAAATTACCTGCTTACATGGTATTGAAGCTGCGTTTGTCATGCTGCAGTTTGTAGCTTGAAAATTTGCTGATAAAGTCTCAGGATGACTTGAAGTGAAAGAGGCAAAGATTTTCTGTGATTAAGTGGTTGCTTTTGTTTCTATTTCAGGAAAGCCCCACAGCATTGGCAGCTCCGAACGGATTCAGCTCTCAGGAATGTACAATGTTCGAAAAGGGAAAATACATTTGCCAGTCAACAGATGGACAAGACGCCAAGCTATCCTTTGTGGAACATGCCTAATTGTCTCATCAGTAAAAGAAAGCCAGACTGGAAAGATGCATGTTCTCCCTTTAATTGGTGGAAAAGTAAGATATTTTATTTTATGTATTTGCTTGGTTAGCCCCTACCTCTTTACACAGAGAAGATTGCATTCAATTAGGATTATTCTGACCCCTCGAAAACTTGTTCCTGTAAGTGGGATTTTCATAGTATATGAATGACTTTTGATTATGGTCAGTCACGTTCAACAATTTTGGATGTTTGAATTAAAACAATGAAATAATGGATGCACAATCAATTTCTTTCTCTAGTGTGCAATATTAGGTGGTTTATATGCGCAACAGCACACAGCTAAAGGATACATACAGCTCTGTTGTCTATGATCTGTGCCACACCAGCTCATCCATGTTTTATCCATGCTGGGTTACTCTTAAGGTCTGAAAATTAACCCGTAAGGATGTGGGCTTATTTTGAACATTGGGGAGTTTTGAATGTTCAGCATTGTTTGAGTACTGGCCTGTTGTAACCTAATAATAAACAGCAATAAACATTTTTACTTGTGGAAAGCTGAGACTGGAATTTTTTCTGATTGATTACATCTGAAACCCAGGAGTTCCCAAATGAACACAAGGAAATTTATTTTTTTTTTCACTATGACAGTGATAGAGTACTGACACAGGTTACTTAGAGGGGTGATGAATTTTCATGACCCCTGGAGATATTTAAAAACTGTATGGGCAACTGTCTGCGGGTAGCCCTGCTTGAGCAGAGAACCTGTAGAGATCCCATCCCACCTTAACCATGCTGTGATGCTGTGAAACTGTAGCAAAGACAGTAAGGTTACATTACTATTTCAACCTAAACAGTGTTTCAGGACACTACTATTTGGCTTGTTTAGCCAAGTTTAAGGGAAGAGAATCATTAGCTTGAGGATGAATTTACACCTGAAGTAATCTTCCTTTACTTCACATACAGATAAGTTGAATTCTAAAAAGCTATTGGGAGAGGAACAAGCTTCGCAATATTATAGATGCAGACTAGAGTTGATTTATTAATATTCTATACTAGCAATGTGAAAAGTAGTGCTGCCTTCCAAGAGCTGTTTTTCCTGTCTCCTTTCATGATTCTTCAACTCTTCCCTGGAGATAATGAAGCAGAGACGTTGTCCTCTTTTAACAACAGTGTGTGAACTCCTGACAGTGAATTATATTCCTGGCTGTAGGATGCTGGAGAGGACAGGATTCAGGTTCCCGTTGGCCCTGTCTTTGAGGAGGAAAAATATATATTTTTGAATTTAAAAAGGGAAAAGGTTATGTACCTTTTTTAATTGTGTAACATGGAATTTCTAAGTTGCTTTTGCACAGATATGCCTTGTGTGATGTAAAACATGCAGACTGTGTTAAGCAGAAAGTTAACAACAAATTTTAAAAGAAAAGGATAACTAAGCTCAGAAAAATGTACTGAGGGCTTCTGCTGACAAAGCTTGGGAGGAGGATGCTTGGCACAGAACTAAGTGTTTTTTTAAATTATTGCTCAAAAAATATTCTTCCTCAACCCCATAAATACTCTGCACTTCCTGGTTTGCAAAGGCTTTCCAGAATGCTGTGCTGAGACATGGAGACCATAAGTTGTGTGGGACTACTCATGTATGGTAGCAGAATGATGTATTCTGGGTGTTTTTTAGCAAGTTGAGAAATGCCAAAGAATTTAATTGGGCTGTAAGAGAAGCATTTTGTTAAGCCTGTTTTTAATAACCAGGAGTATAAATTGTATTTTTTTTAGGTTGCATAAAAACAGCCTTAAATGTGTTTCACTGGCCAACCTTTTATGGTGTTCAATCTCTATTAAAATGTTGATATTTTTGGTGGTTTTCTCCTTTAGTTTCATTGTCCTTCTGTTCTCATTCCTTGCCTGTGTAGATTTTGTGAATATTTGACAGCTAAGATCCAACTTGAGTGTTTGAGGTGGTTAGTCCAGCTCTACTTGATGAGTTCCTCTTGGGCACACTTAAACTTTGCCCTGGGGAGTTCTGGAAAGAGGCTTTTGATTCTTGTTGACTAACAGTTTTGTGTTTCTGCTGTAGGTGGAAGAAGTGAAAAAGCACCAGCACTGTTTAGCATTTAGCTCCTCTGGACCTCAAAGCCAGACCTACTACATTTGTTTTGATAACTTCACTGAATATCTGCGTTGGCTGCGACAAGCATCAAAGGTGAGAATAGTGCTGACTCCTTCCTGAAAGGGATGTCCATAGAGTTTCCCCCAGTTCAGTCTTCTCCATGCAGCTTTACATTCCCTCTTCTGAGTTGACTGTCATGAACTTTATAATTGTTTTGTTTGTTTGTTTGTTTTTAAATAAGCTATAAGCAATCATTTTCTGTCAGTGAAAAGTTACTAACTAAAACCTTTGTAAAGCAAATTTTATACTGTGCTTAGAGCACAATTAATTATGAGAATCTAGGGCCTGCGTTATTTCATTTGAATCTTCAGTTCCACTTTGTTTTGTTGGAAGGTTGTTTTTGCAGTTACCTGTTTTGTCTCTTAATCCCTGCTACCTTTTTGATAAATCCTCTCCAAAGTAATTTGGATATCTTGAACCATTATATTTTCATATTTTTTTACCATGTGAGTTCTTCTGCTGTGCTGTTAGCATTCTCTTTGGTTTTCTGGTTGGGCCTAAACTGTTCATTAGTTTTATACTTGATAGGACTGTCCGTGCACTTTACTATGTTAAAGCAACTTAGTTTTATGTAGTAATACTCAGAGGTATTCATGTCACACTAGATCTGTTTTCTCTTTTTAGGTTGCAATAATGTGTTATCCAGCCTATTGCCAGTGATAGAACCTTGGCTGTGGGCTTTTTTAAGAGGTTGGATTTTCTTTGAGTGGTAACGAATGCGCCTCCCAACACCAGCGTCATTTAAAATGTCTTTTAAGTTTTTTTTCTAGTAAGTTTTAAAATTCTTTTTAGAGAAGCTGTTCAGGCGTATCTGCTTAGGTCTGTTAAGCCTCAAGGTAAAAATCCCCAAGGCATGTTTTATGAGACGGTGAGGCACGGTCTGTCAGGTTTTTGAGTTCTTGCTGCTTTGTGGCTCTCTCTGGGACAGTAGTGCCCTTTCATCTCCAGAGGGTTTGACATCAGATAAATGAAAGGCAAATCTAATGAGTGAGGAAAACAGTGGAAAACAATGAACTTCAGAAGCAGAGATAAATGGCCAGAAAACCCCTCTGAATTACTGGCAGCATAAGCTTGTTCTGTGCCATGCTGTGCTTCTCTCTTTTTGGTTCACCCAAATGACTAACAGCATCGGGACGATAGCCAGCATGAGAACATATCCCCATGCACTCATGATAACCTCCCATTTTTCTTATGTAAGAGTAGAAAGAAAATACATAATTTCAAGTGTTTTTTCAGACTATCAGAACTGAAGAAACTTGCTTTGCTATCCTTTTAGTTGGTAAAACGTGCTTCAAGTTAAAAATTAAGCATTTGCCCAAACTCCCCAGCCCTCAAACCTGAGTCTTGGTGTTCTGCATTTGTGGATTTTGAAACAGTACTTTGCCACTTCAAGTTGCTTTTTTGATGTTTGGAGTTCCTATCCTTAGATTGAAAAACACAGACAAGCATGACAGTATGCAAGGCAGTCCTGTGGGAAGTGCTGTACAGTAACACTGTTTCTGAAGAACAGAAACAAATAAGCTAGTAATGCTGCAAAGCTACTCAAAGGTCCTCCAACTGATGCCGTTTGTATCCAAGTGCTTAGTTTTAAGGTGCAGCCCACCTGATTTACACGTATAGAAAAATGAGAAAAAGTTTAATCTTCAGCTCTGTAGTTCAGGCAAGCTGACATTCTCATGCTGGGAAAAACCCCCAACATTTATATGAGGTATTCTGCCTAAGGTGTTTAGAAACTACTCAAGTTCAAATCTGTTGAAATATTACTGCTAACCAAGAAAATACGGTATAAAGCACTGTATTTTTAAAGGCAAGCAAATTTAGGAAGGGAGATGATATGGCTCTCAAAGTGTGAGCTTCTGGTTACTCATTAGGGGATAGGTCACATGATGCTTACAGATTCTTTGTTAGTTATGGTTTTGTATATAGTACTTGCACCTCTGTGAGTTGTTATGAATAATATTTAAGACTGTATTTTAAATATAGATGTTGTTTAATGGCACTTGTTTTGAAAGTGACATTTGTGTGTTTACTTATGTTCAGTGGTAGTTTTTCTGCAGTCCTTCATGTTCCCAATGTGAGCTGCTGGAAACTGAGGGTTCTGATACTTAGTAGGGTAATGGAAGCTTTCATTATAAATTTTAATGCAGAAGGAAATCCCTGGTAAAATATTTTATTAAAATTGCTGAATTCAGTTTTTAACTAGGAAAAAATATTCACTTTTGTCTTCAGTATTCTTTAGAAGAGCTAGAAGATGATGTTATTTTAACTTTTAAATAAGAAACTTCATCTTGAAAGGAGACTTTGCAAAAAATGCTTGCTCTGCAGTCTTTCCCCCTCACAGAATACTGGCAATGTTGACTTTTTAGTGGTGTTTCAGAATGAGACAAATCCTAATGCATCATTCCTGCAATAAATATGTGTATGCTAAAGAAGATTTGAATTCATGTTTGCAGAGGCTTGGTTTCAATTTAATTAAAAATGAGCATCACTCCTGTATAATCAGATTCATTGTAACAGTGAAATCTATTGTAACCAAGACACCTCTCGTGCTCTGCCCCAGTAAATTTTTGGAAGGAATTTGTGAATAGGTAGTAGAATTAGTTTTCTTGTATGTATGTGTACTGAGGTGAACAGAACTCCTGTTTTCAGGACAGACTGGAATTATTGCACAAATACTGACCTAAATATTGAACTTGGTGACATACTTATTCCAAATAGGTCACTTTTATATATGCTGATTTAGTCTCAAACAGAATATTTTTAAAAGCTGGAAATGTGTCTTGTTCGTTAATATTGATAGTTCTATACCACAGTTCAATTCTTTCCTTTTACTTTCCAAAAACTGGAGTCCTAATTAGGGAAGCTCAAAAGGAAAACAACAACAACAGATTTGGTCCTTTGTGATCTAATGCTTTCGTTCTGTTGCCAAATGTTGAAAAATAAGCTTATGCAACTGGGAGGGGGAGCAGAGGGGAAAGAAAGGAACATTTTCATGGCTTTAAAGAATTTTGTCTGCATAAAGTTGTCATGATGGTTCTGGAACTGGCACAATTACTTGCAGAGCAAATCTGCTACTGTTTTCTACTTGAATGTCAAATGCAGAAGGACAGGGCAAAGAATGTGCATATAACAGTGAGGGGAATATGGTCAGGACTTTCCCCATTTGCCACTTGCAAAAACTAAAAAGCTACAGCCTTAGTGTAGAACAGAGAGAGGTGTTTGTGTAAGGTATTGTGGAGTGGTGAAACTTGTTGCTGGGAGCTCGTATATGGGATGTGGTGGCGAGCTCCTGCTGTTTGACACTTCTAACAGCTAAAGCTAAACATTTTTCAACATGTGAAATGGCTGTTGTAAGTGTTGACTGCAACTATGACATAACATGTTTCGTGACATGGGTAGTTTGGCTGGAGTAGAAAAGGCTTAGTAGTCCTCTGTGTTCCAAGACATAGAGTTAAAACGGTATGTCAGTATCTGCCTCAGAAATTCAGTATTGCAGAGTTTAAACCAGGACATATTACAGAATTTTATCTTCTTCGAATAGACTGTGCCACTGGGCATGCCGAGACGGGTTGTCTGACCCCGCGGGACTTTTCTCCTCTGGGCTGGAGGAGAGCAGGAAGTGTGTCGGCAGCTTCATGCTACAATTATTTCCTGCTTTAGTGCTCAGTTCAGCAGGGCAGGTAGAAGGAAGAGAGGCGATGAGAGACGAGGACTATAAATAATACATGACTGCCTCACATAAGCCGCCTGTGCGTGGCTGCACCATACGTGTAGGTAGGTAGAGATGTCCAGGCGCACGACCCTACGTGTCTGCACGCCACTGACTGCATCCAGGTGGAGCTGGACATCTCTGGCTATAGTGACATCATGTTTAGTGGGGAATAAGGTGTTGTGTGGGGCTTAGGTGCCTATACACAAAGAACCCTCCTGTTTAAAATACAGGGAATATGCAGAAAGAGGTCCTTGGTTTAAAACCTATCAAACGTAAGAGTTTTCTCCTGGGAGCCTTTGTGTTTTCCCTTCCCTATTTCAGTCACCTTTGTCTTCAAGTCTGCAGTGGAAGTGTGTGGTGTTCCAGACAACCCTACCCTGCTGTGAAAAGAGAAAAACTAAATTATGATGTCAGTGTACATTATATTTGAAAAGTGCTAAAAATAGCACAAATAGCAAACTTAAGGGAGAAGAGTGTGCTGCCATATTGGCCTTATTCCTTTTGTGTCAGTGCAGAATGCTCTCTTCATACATTTATTTGCACTGTGAAACTAGCAGAAAATAAGAACACATTTGAATTTAATATATACTATGCAAGTAAGTAATACAGGAGCCTCTGCAGCTGTAATATGTCTCTCCTCAACTTATGTAGAGATCTACCTGAAGCAGCAGTATAGTTTCTATCATTTTATTTTCCTCCTAAGTTATCTGGTTCTGACCATCTGCCTCAGTCTTTTGGTTATTTTTTTGGTTCAAGTTTGGCAGAGACTGTTCTGAAAGGTGAGTATGGACTCTGTAAAGAGGACAAAGCTGATCTGTGACTCTAGTGACAGGATTTTTATTTCTAGTGAGGAGGAAATGTTTGAGTCCTGACCACACGCTTGGTGTTACAGACCACACTTATATGAATAAATTCTATAGAAATTAAAAATCAATTCTTGAACTTTGCAGTTCTGCTAATACATTTCCAAAATGGGAGACTAAGATGATTAGCTTGTGCATTTATTTTACTGGAATGGTGCTGAGGAAATGCAGTGAGCAACGGTTGAGCATTACTGCTAAAGATGTACCTGCATTTCAGCTGTGCATCATCTACCTTTGAGATAGGGAAAGATAATCAACCGTGGGACTGCTTTTTGCTTTAGCACAGAAGATTCTCTCATTAATTAAAATGATGGGTAATAAGTCATATGCACTTGTGCATATAGCTTCATCTTTATTTCAGATACTATCAGATATTAACGTCTTTCTCACGTCAGCCATGGTCAACAAGGAAAAGCTGTGTGAGAAGGTTCCACACCAGCTTCATTGTGGAACACAGA